AGAACTGGGGTACAGGCCAGAGATGCGGAGGGTGAGAGGATTCACCAGAGACAGAGCAGGGAGCAGAACAGGCAGATCGACGAAGTACACTGCTAAGGGGAGCAGTGGGAGGGTCAGGAGAGGTCTGCCACGCCATGTGGTCACCTCCGGGGCAGGCGGGGATCGAACTCATGACGAAGTGGCTTAAGCTTCTTAGTGCTGTGCTTTAACCCACTGTGCCACCAGGGAGGGCCCTCTGATGACTCTTAATGTACATGGTAGGATCACAGGTAACCACAGCTACTTGTATAACATCTATATTTAACAACTAGTTCCAAGGTAATTGTATGACTTGGTGAGGAAACTAAATAGGGAGGAAGTACTGTATTTCCTGGACATAAAAATGAGAGTTCAAAAATATGTTTAAAAAAGATAAATGAAACAGCACACTGTAATAAAAGGTAATCATTTAGAAATTCTTTTGCAGTTTTGTAAAGGAATATGAACTGATACATTGTTTAAATGCCACACAGATCCATATAGCTAAATGGTGCTCTCTAATGTTTTTGCTATCCTTAACTTTTTCTTTATCACATTTTTTTTCGAAATACACATTCTATTTTTTTCAATAGGTTCTAAGTCCCTGAAAGTTATTTTTGTTGATGGTGCATCTCCTTCTGAAAAGGTGACAGATTAGCAAAAAAAAAAAAAAAGAAAAAAAAAGAACATAGAAATTGAGTAAAAATCCCATTTCTGGTTATTCTAGATGTTTGTCTTTGGTTGGCTAACTAACCATTATAACCTTAGTATCTTCATCTACAAAACTATAAAAAATGTATCTTGTAACAATATTATAAGGATTAGGAATGATATTTGAGAAATTCCAATCAAAGACTGAGTACTCACAAATAATATTTTTTACCATTATTCTCATTAACTTTAATTCCCAGAGTCTTTTCTGTTGCCATTCAGTAAGTTCTCAAAAGTTCTCAAAAAGATGGACTTTCTTCCATATCAAATTGTAGCAATAGAAGCAACAAATTATAGATTCACATTTCACTCATATTTAGAAATTCATAAGAATCTATAGATACTTATAACCCTTTCTTGATAAATTATTCCTTTATGTAATGCTAAGTTAAGCAAGGGGAGCCTGAAAAAGTAACAAAAATAGAAAAAAAATACTAAACCCAAACAAAGTTCCCATTTTTTATTTTATATGTAAGAGCTGAAAAAACAATTAGGAAGTAAGGTTAACTCTACTTGAATTTTGTACTTAATGCTCTTTTAAGTAAAATATAAAATGAAACACCTTTAATATCCTTTCTCTTCATCAAGTGCAATTAAATACCAAGTTGTTAGACTTCAAATTAATTGTAGACTCATGTATTTGCAATTTTCAGAATAATGCTTTCTGTGATATAAGTAATAGTTTGGAAATAATTACATTTGCAAACTCTTTCTACATTAGTTTATTAGTATTTGGCATATTTCCTAGACACTCTTCTAGAGAAATTTTGTGACATTTGTCAACAGAAAAATTTGGAAAGAATTTTGACTTTGGCATCGTCTACAAAATACCAAAGTACATTTATATGCATGATTTGGCAAATTTTAAGTGGATTGATTCCATTTCTTGTACAGGCACTTCTGGATTATAAAATTATTGCACTATTTTTTAAACACAGAAATCTACAAACTGAAAAATCAAATATAAAAAGTCAGAATTATATATGTATATATGTATATATACATATATACATATGTTCAAGAATGATGGTGTCAGAACTATTTTCCTATCCACTTTTATAAAACTTTTATTTAAAATCATTACTTTATTCCCATTTTGAATTGCTGATTTTTTTAGTAACACTCCAAGATTCTTTGTTAACTGGTCTTTCAGGATGTAACAGAGAATTGACATCAAGGAGTTAGAGGCCACTCTTCTATTTTTGTCGACATCAAATTTGGATGATCTCATCCCTTCCGTTTATAATAAACCTTAACTACATTTCCCTGAAAAGATATTGTACTGAAAAGCAAATACTAAAACTAAAAAAAAAAATGCTGTCATAATATAAAATTTCTCGTTAAGAATTTCTACAGTATTAATTATGGACATCTCTCTTAAGGTAGAAAATATAGGAGATTAGAGATTACATAAAGAATCCTATTTATGAAAATTAGCTTTATATGCATGTATTCAAAATTACTTTAATACTACCCTCATAACTTGGAAGATGTGAAGAATATTTCTTTAACTTTGAATGATCGTTTCTAAATTAATTAGTATATTCTTGTTACCTTTCATAGCATCCATGCCTCCCACAGCATAAAGAGCTCCCACAGTTGATTTTCTAGGCTTTGTCCGAGGGCTTTGCATCATGGGTCTTCGCTCAGGTAAAAGGTGGTATTTCATAGCTTCCATGAGGAGTTTCTGACACTCAAGATCACCAGTAAACATGGAGCTATTTTCAAGATCTGCCAGTAGCTGAAAAGGAATGATACATGGTATATGAAAATAAAGAGCCCACATTAAAAAAATAGTTTTGCTTATATAACTTTAGGGAAACTCAAGCTAATAGAAATTTTTATTATTTCATACTGTATTTAGTAAGATATTTAATCTTCACTTGACTTAAAATACTAAAAGCCATGAGTAACATGTTCATTTAATATATACTGTTCAGGAATTCTATAATGCGCAGCATGCCAAAGGGTGATCTCATCATCTTGATTCAATGACCTCAAAATTTTCCACTGTTGCCTGCTTGAGGTAAAAAAGGCTAACATCCTTCTAGACCTACGCTGCTCGTTATAGCAGTCACTGGCTACATGCTGGTATCATACTGAAATATGTGGTTAGTCCAAACTGATATGTGATGTATTAAATAAGTACAAGATTTCAAAGACTTATTATGAAATCAAGTATGTAAAATACCTCAAAAATTATAGTGTTAAAATACTGAAATATTATAAAGTATGTTAAATGAAATATACTCACATTTCAAAAAATAAAACTCTAGAAAAAAAATAAACCTCAGAGTGGTTGCTGAGGATCTATGCAGATTTATGTGACATTTATTCACCTTTTGAATGCATACACATTTAATCTCAGGGAGTGAAAGAGAATAGCTGTGGATGCACAAAAGACACATCTATTGGCCCTCCCTGGTGGCGCAGCGGGTTAAAGCACAGCACTGAGAATCTAAGGCCGCTTCGGCATGAGTTCGATTCCCGCCTGCCCCGGAGGTGACCACATGGTGTGGCAGACCTCTCCTGACCCACCCGCTGCTCCCCTCAGCAGTGTACTTCGTCGATCTGCCTGTTCGATAGAGTGCTCCCCATTCTATCCCTGGTGAATCCTCTCACCCTCCACATCTCTGGCCTGTACCCCAGTTCTGTATGCACGAATAAATAAATCTTTAAAAAAAAAAGACACATCTACTAGTCTACTGCTTATAGCCCAGTTATAATAAAATATATCACTATAGGAAGTTGCATCTTTATCATCAAATCATTTCTATAGACTATACTGAAATAATGTGCATTTTATCTGGGTACATGTGTTAGAAACTAGCCAATACATCATCAGTTGTAGATGGTCAATCCCTTCCAACCACATTCTCTGATAGACAATAAAACCCTGTTTGAATGGGGTACAAGTTATAAAATAGTCTGGCTGACTATCATAAATAATGCTGCAGACAAAGGCAAACTTTAAAACCCACCCTTAAAAGCTGACCATAGAACTCAGGCAAGAGGGAGAGGGACAGGTGTGAACAGGGTGGGTGAGAACACAGTGGACTATGGAGGAGAATTATGGATGCTTTGGTGGTGCGAGTGCTGTGGTGACTACACCTGAGGGGAATTCCTATACTTCCAAAACATTAACAAAGATGTAAACCAGTTGTACTTCAATTTAAAAAAAATCCTGAGTTGAGAGGTTAAGATTTTGTTTCAGAATTTTAACAAGGATCATTTAGGCTTGTTCCTTAGAGTTTGGGGTTCACAGTATCATAAGATAATGAGGAAAATTGTAAGCAATTGCTGGACTAGCAATGTTAATCTCACTCCACAAAACTTGCTTGAAATTTCCTACTCTACACTGGTCACACCAGCTCTGGTCTCACCCTCAACTGTTATCTTTGATGGATCACTCTTTTGACTGGAACTGATGAGAATCTGGGAATTTCCTTACTGTGTATACTACTGAAAACTGGGATACATTATTTTTTCCTCAAAAATATTCTCCAAATATGAAAAAAACTAGTATGAAAAGATTTATACAATCATCTGTTCATAGCAACATTATTTGTAATTGTGAAGACATGTAATCAACTTAAAAGCTCATTGAGGGCTCTTCTTGGTGATACAACAGGTCAAAGCACCACATTATGAAGCTCTCTGAAGACATTGCAGCATGAGTTCGATCCCCGGCCAGGCAGCTGACCCACATGGTGTGGTAGACCTCTCCTGGCCCACCCGCTGCTCCCCTCAGCAGTGTACTTTGTCAAACTGCCTGTTCTGCTCCCCACTCTGCCTCTGGTGAATCATATCACTCACCACACCTCTGGCCTATACCCCAGTTCTGTAAGCATAAATAAGTAAATCTTTAAAAAAAAATCATATTGAACAATAACTGAATAAATAATTTTAGGTATGTGTAGTTGATGGAATACTACTCTGCTATTTAAAATAATGAAATAGTGACTTTTGGGATGAAATGAATGAATACTGAGGTGACTATGCTAAGTGAAGTAAGGCAAGTATCAAAAGACAATTATTAGGTGTTTTCACTCAAACTGGCAAGACAAAACAAAAATTATTCTTGGACTCTGTGACAAATATGGCAATTACCTTAAGGGAGTGAATGGGGAAAGGGAATATGTGAATTGGCACTGGGGCTTTGATGGAGGGTGAGTGAAATGCATATATTTTAAAGTGTGAAGTTGTTCATTCAAAATTCTATTATCTTGCAAATGCATGGCAAATAAATAAAATTTGATTAAAAGTACTCATCAGAAATTTGTCAGCATTCTTCTCATGTATTTCACTTCTTTTTTAAGGTCACTTTTACAATTGTTTTGGCAAGCTCATATTCTGTATGATCTTAACACACCATTTTTAGGAAAGGTTAACACAATCCACATTCAAGACAAAAATATATACTGAGGGATGGATGGCCAAGGTACTGCTGGTGGCGTCTTTAGGCTGAAAATTATACCTCATTCAAATGATAACAATTCAAACTAAACACTTTGGGAGAGAATGTCACATAGAATTAAAGCAGTGTCAAGGGCCTCTGATCTTTAACACCAATGCACCTTAATTCTCTTCATCTCTAAGAATCACCTGGAGAACTAGTTAAAATACAGGTTCTTCGGCCTCACCCAACAAAATAGTTTTAGTCAGTCTATGATGGAGGCCTGAGGTTTTAATCACCTACCCTGGCACTTTAATGTTGCTGGCCCAGGGACATTTTTTAGGTAGCATTGCCTTAAATAATTTGATAGATCACGCAGGCCCTCTCACGAGAATAACAACCTTAAGTACACACACATTGACACAAATACCAAATTCTATAGATAACTTTGAGTCCAAAATTACGTATATATGTTAATGTTTCTCTGTCTGGTGTCACAGTTGCCTTTTCCCAATAGATAAATGTGTTATACCCAGGAGGCCAGTCCAATGTTCCTGCATTGAGATGGATAAGTTCTTTTTGTAAATCTTACTCTTTGTTGCCTAGAAGGTGCCTGCAATATGTCAGATATTCAAGAAATTGCTTGAATTAAAACAAAAAGTTAAAATAACAAAATTTAATGCTACAGAAGCTAGTAGCCTTTAAATATTTAAATTTCTACTGAAGTAACATCATAGCTGATGTACATCCTATGTTAGGTTTACTACTAAAAGTTCAAATCTGTAGATTCTTGAAAGTAAATACGTAGTTCTATGGGATTTAATTCAGAGCTAAAAGCAAAAGTAAACCAATCACAAAAGCATTCTATTTTTCTTTTCTTTATTAAGGCAGCAGACTCTTACAGCACTTAGATGACTCAATTATAGGATCATACCTCTTCATATGTATGTCCACCACATCAATGTAAACATATTATAAATAATTTTGTTGAAAATTAATTAATTCTAACATTTATGAAACTACTGGTCCCTAAGTACAGGTAAAGTTTTCCTTTCAATTGTATATTTGAGGAATTCAAGGACAGTATGTCCAACAACTTTATATTATGTGTGCATATGCACAATCTATTCACATATATAATGCATTTATATGTTCGCATGCATATCTACTATTTAAAAACTTGTTACAGAGAATAATTGTGATTATCACAGGTAGAATTATATATATAAAGGGACCAGAGCCTAATTTCACTAAAGTTTACTTACTATCGCTCAATCTAAAATGGGTCAAACCTGAATGTTACTCCAATGTTTCTTTTTCAAATCACGTTTACTAGAAAGCTTCAGCAAGCATAACGAGGATGTCACTACAATGATGTCCCACTGCGTCAGGAACTAGTATAGTGTGCTTTCAATCTAAATAGCTGTTAGTGGGTATTATCCAGAGCTAACTCCTTCCCAGAGTCTCCCCTGCAAATCAATTGTACTGTATATCATTGCCTTGCCTAAAAAAATAAGCAGAAAATTAAAAAAATAGGTTTTGCCTTTTCATTTTCTCTCCTTGTTACAAGTACTGTTTGGTGAGAGAGGAAACAAATGAACAGGCTGAAATTTAGGGACTAGCTGTAATTTTTTTTAATCCTGTGTCTTCTCTCTTCCTGATTAAACATTGCTGGTTGAAGCTTGGACATGTCTTTATAGGAAACAAATCCTATATACTCCAAATACCAGATATCCTCTGAATAAAACAAAACTGGACGAAGATCTGAACGAGTGCCTAACGGATTAAGGGTAATTGCTATTACCTGCGGGGGAAGCAGTGGCAGTCTGATGTACGAAAGCAGCATCGCTAGGTCTCCTTGCCTAGCCTGCGAGTCGTGCCCCACCCACTGCATAAGAGCATGGAAAATGGTTTCTTCATCAGGCACGTTAATATCATCACTGCACAGAAGTTTTGAAATTTCATTAGCTGGAAGCAGCAGGAATTCTTGGTTCTTTATTACTTCTATGAAGTGTTCCTAGAAAAGAAAGGTCTTCTATTGAAATTCTGTACTTTAGAAACAACATAAGAATAGCAAAGCAGGCCCTCCCTGGTGGCGCAGCTGGTTAAAGCACAGCACTGAGAATCTAATTCGGCTTCCGCATGAGTTCGACTCCCGCCTGCCCCGGAGGTGACCACATGGCGTGGCAGACCTCTCCTGACCCGCCCGCTGCTCCCCTCAGCAGTGTACTTCGTTGATCTGCCTGTTCTGCTCCCCACTCTGTCTCTGGTGAAGCCTCTCACCCTCCACATCTCTGGCCTGTACCCCAGTTCTGTATGCATAAATAAATAAATCTTTAAAAAAAAAAAAAGAATAGCAAAGCATTTCCCTTTTTTTAAACTTCAGAAAAAGCCAGACAGATACATGCATTTCTAACAAACAGTTTCTACTGCTGCCTGTTAGAGGGAGCCTGGGGGAGCGTTCTGATGCTGAGAAGCCAAATGCTTCCCCTGTGAATTATTTATTGAATACAAAGAAAGGCCTGAACTGCTTCAAAGGACACACTGATAGTTTTCAAGTTGATACCATTACTTTTTTTATCCCAGTTATTGTAGATAGCAACAGCTTAAGATTCCAGAACTGATTGATGTTGGGTTGATCTTTAACCAAAAAGCTTAATATGAAGGTTGAAAATTTTCAAGGGAGTGGTAGCTCTGGCTGTGCATTTGAGGCGGCTCAAATGAACTCTTTTGAGATGAAAAAAAAAAAAAGAAACTGATGAAAGTCTATTCTTACAAGGAAACATTAACATCTGTTAGTCAAGACAAAGGTGTCTCTTACACTGGATAACGATCTTTAGATTCAGGATTATCTAAATGGGACTCATGGAATTATTTTTTGGTGAGACATTGGGGCTGTCTTTTAATTTTTTATATATTATATCTCAATTTTCCCTTTTGTCTTTATGTCATCTCAGATATCAAATTTCAGACAGATGAATTCTAAATTTTTCATCAAAATGCCACTCTACTTTTCTAGTATAAAGTGATATATATTGATATTACACCACAAAATTGTAATTTCTAACACTTTTCATAGTAAAGCCTTCAAATTCTAAATGGAAATGACCAATGCAGTTGGTAATTTATATTGTACAATAAGATATTCTGGCAGCAAGTTAAGACCACCTTTGAATAAATGTGTGTATGGGGAGGGGGAGGCAGGATTTATGATAAATCAAAAATTCAATCTGACTATATTCCATTGTAGAACTGAGTTCATCTCATAGTAAAATTCACCATACAATAAGCATCAAGTTTGATAGACCCATCAAGGGAGTTCTAATCACATAAAATGTAAATTAACTTAATTTAAGCAAAAGCCCTCTTGAGATTAAGGCAAACATTGAAGAGAACTGCTGCTCTTACTATAGCAGGTGTCCCTTGTTGAAAACCCTCTCACCTGTAACGAAGCTAGGAGGACCACTAGCAATGCATTACACCGGCATGCCATTAAAACTCTGCAGGATTCTTTCACACACATTAAGTCATGACCAATGTGAGCTTGTGAGAGATGGAATTCTGATGAAGGACCAGGATAACCGAATTGTTTGATTTTTCCTGCAGTAAATGGCAAGTATGCACTCAAGCTTAAGTTTTCAGGTCTCCTTCCTTTTGTTCAGTGTCATGTCTACTATGTGACAAAATTTTTATAAAGGTGCTAAGAAAAAGACAAAACACTATAAACCTTCTGTTTACCTATTATTGGTAGTGCATGAAAACTCTGAAACTGTGTGGGTATTACAGAAGTCCCTGTATCCCAATACCCTTTATAACCACTCTCTAATGAAAGAAAAAGAAAATGAGAGTAAGAGAGTGAGGACAAAAGAAAAGCTAGAATGAGAGAGAACAAAAGAGAGATGCAAAGGTAGACTGACTCAGTCTAAAAATTTCTCAGTGGCTAATGTGGCTCACAGTAGCATCTATCAGATTTGGTTATGTTTGAGAATGTTAAGACATGATTAAAATGGCTTATTCAGAAATGATTAAAATGGTCCTACTCACATATTGCCAGAAATTAGATTTTTCTTATAGAAATTGTTATAGCCTCAGAATGGCTGCCTGATTAGGCTACTGAAAGCTACTTAGCAATACAGCATTATTCTAAATTATAAGTAAGTGCATAGGGTCAATATATCATTTTGTGGCACTACAGTATTCTGTATTATAGAAAAATACTTAGCTTAACTGAAAGACTAATTTTAAATTGTCTTATTTGGGAATTATTTTTCTCTTTACTTGTTTTCTTTTTTGTTTTTGGTAATTTTAATTTTACTCCTAATTTCAAAGTAAACACATTCTTCTATAGTTGTGTAGTTCTTTTCAAGATTCTTCTTTTGAGCCTTTTGTTAGATACTGAGTTTTTTAAATCCATATTTACATAATTATAAAGTTAATTAAATGAATATAGCATGTTTGCAAAAAAATTTCATTGAGTAGGACTTCTTATATGACTACGATAGTTACTTTTATATGTCAAATTGAGTCACAGAATGTCTTTTTGTCAGACATTATTCTAGTGTCTGTGAAGGTGTTCCTGGCTGAGGCCCGGTCACATCAGAGCGTGCAGTCAGTTTTATTCACTTTATGATTAATATAAATATAACTGAATCCTTAGAGTTTATAATTATTTGTAAACTTTAAATTTATCTGCATTTTTATACTATCACTACTTTATTACAAAGGCATTATTTAGCATGATCTTTAGTTATTAATTGTATTTATAGTAGAGACTAAAATAACTTGAAAAAAGGTAATTAAAGGAGAGATTATTACCCTTTAATGCACATCCTGTTTTAACACTCAGCTCAAGTCACTTACTAGGAAAAGGAAGACATGTTCATTTTGAGCAACCAAAATAATTCAAGCTGTTTATCAGAATGTTTTGTCTGCAAGCGTAAGATACCAGGCAGGAAACTGTTAATACTTAGTTCAAGAATCTAATTAAACAGGAAGTTTTTATGTTCAGCTGTTGTTGTAGGATAAACCTTTCAACCATTTAACTGTTGTTCCTATAGATTATATTTAAGTCATAGGAATATAAAAAACATAATTAAATAAGATTATGCTGAAATGAAAATCCAAGAAGGTATAATCATCCACACCAAGGTTTTGTTTCAGGAATATGTTTGAAACTTCAGTTTGAGCAATGATCTGGGAGGGGAAGAGAAAAGGACAGTTCTACAGCTTTGTAGAGAATTAAAATGTTAGAAATTTGAAAGAAATTAAGACCCATATACAACTCTAAAAAATATTTACATGTATCTCAATCATAAACTTGTAGACATAATATTGTTTATTACTTTTATATGTGATTCTTTATTATTCACATTCACATACTTGCTTTTAATTTTAAACCTTAAAAACTAGAGAAATTTTCTTTTCTTGAAATAGTTATCTTTTGATTGGGTTTCAAATGTTTTGTTCCTTGTATCAGAGGTTAAAAAAATCATTTTGTTATGTGTATCAGAGAATTAACATTGATGGTAAGGGTTTATTTACTATCCTCCATCTATGTTTTCCTGCCTGTCTACATATAATCTATATTTCATGTCGTTTTCACTGGGTTAAATAGAAGTAATCTTATCACATGCATCTTTAAAAGAACGAAGACATACCAACAAGTTTAGCTTATAATTATGAACAGAAATTAAAGGGATTTTCAGTCAAATTAAATGAATAAATTTCAAATTGTTTTTATTAAGAAAAAAATTCATCCAGTAGTATTGTCTGACTTACTAATTTTGATAGTTCTTAAGTTCTAGTTAATATTGATCAATTCCTTAGTTTTTCCGAGTGAATGATATTTAATGTTCATTAGAAATTAGAAGTTCTACAATTTTATAAACTCAAATTTTAATGGTTAAAAACAATAGGAAAATTTCATTTTCTTAAAACTGGGATTCTACTTGAAGTATGTACTTGTACATTTTAATTTTTTTAAGTATTTTCATTTTCAAGCTTTGAGATTTAATTAAACCATTTTTTAGTTTCAAAAATAAGAAATTTGCTTGAGTACAGCTCAGTCAGACAAATACTTTTTATCTATTATGCAAAGGTCATTTGCAAGTTGTGTAAATTCATATTGCTTTTTAATTTTATCCCAACATTGTAATCTTAATTTTGGAGAGATTATACACATACACACATATCAGTAAACAAATGAGTTATCTAAATATTGTGTTAACATAGAATTACTGCAAATTAATTTGAGGCAACTATTTTACCATTGTGTATTTATGTGCCACATTCAGGAGCTCGGTACAACCCTGGGCATCTCCAAATGATCGAATCCCTAAGCAGTTTGAAGGATGGAGTTGCTTTATGAGAAATCTGGAGCAGACTTCAATGACCTGAGTCAGCTGTAAGAGACAAGCTGCAGCCAGCAAATTTTCAATAGTATCTTCTTTCAATTGCAGGATGCCTATACGGTTTGAAAAAGTAAAGGATGATTATATGTCCCATAGAGTAAGGTACAAATATGATACCTAATTGGATTTTCTCAGTTTCTCTCAGTACAGCTTTCTTTTCTAGTATATATTAACAAGTAATGACATACCTTCTGAATAAGTTCTGCAAATGAATATAGATAAGCACTAATAAAACAGCTGAAGGAAGCTTAAATAGATTATCAAAAACAACTGTAATAAACAGTGAAAAACATTGCAAATATCAAACGCTTGTTATTTCTTTATCACATTAGATCTTCATCTGTATCTTATACTGTATCTTATATGAAAACTGTCTATTTTACAACTTAAGGATGATTATGTTATATTGTATAAATAAACATCATACAATTGACCATACAGATAACTGTTATTTGTGTGGAAAAACATCTTGGTAAAGAAGAACATAGAGCTTATATATACAATTCTTTTCATGTGCTTTTGTTACCTGGTAAGCCTGGTGTTTTCAAAACATTAAGCCTGTAATTGATACCTGGTTCTGTTAAAAAAAAAAATGTTTCCAACTGTCCAAAAATGAAGTTTCAAAAATTACTAAATTATGGATTCAATATAAATGGATAAAGAAATTGTGGAATATATAGCAAATGAAATACAACTCAGCTATTATAAGTCTTTTGTGACAAAATGGATGGAACTTCATGTGATTATTCTAAGTGAAAAATATCAGAAAATGTAAAATGCTGAATGGTTTCATTTACCTGTGGAATGTAAATAGCAATAAGAAAAAATAAACTGGCAAAATACAACAAAATCAAATGTTATGTCTTTGCATATTCTCCGGGGCTATATTGTAGGTTCACAGCTCTACAAACACACTTTTACCCTCCGCTTATCACCATTGCCTGCTCCAAAAAATTCAAAATTTACCAAGCCATTCACATTGTTTGGTAAATTATTTTTCAGTTGCAACAGCTAGTGCATAGTTTAGCATGATAAAGTGTTTTGTAAGCAAGAACAAAAACACATATCTTAATGAAAAAGTTACTGGCTACCAGCAGAAACAGGAGGAAGAAGGGACCGGTGGAAGAAAAAGAAAAGAAAAATTGTCACAGGAGGTGTAGGGGAGGGTGAGTGAAGCATGTGCATATCATGGAGGAGTAAAAATGTAACCCCAAAGTTATGCCGACAGGTAAACAACCGACAAATGTAATTGAACATTAAAGAAACTATATAAACATGATGATATGATTATTTTTTAGCCATAAAAACAGATTCCATTTTCAAATATTTAGGAATTTTTGCTTTTTTATTTTTTTAATAAAATGTTAATTAGCCACTGGTTTACAATCCTATGTAAGTTTGGGGAGAGGAACGTTCCACCTCACTATATGTACACACCCCACTGCAGTCACCACAGTAGTGCTAGTGTCATTCACCATGATCAAATTGATCCCTTTTACCAGTTCCTCCTAATTCCATTCTCCTCTAGGAACCACCGTATTTCTCTGAACCTCAGACTCATTTTTGTAGTTTCTTTGTTAGTTTGTATTGCTTGTATATTCCACATTATGAATATATGTCTTTTACATTCTGACACTGAAAATGAGACCAGAGGAATTTAAATAATTTACATTGCTATAACTATCATTTTTAGGAAAAGCATTATTGATAATTACTGCAAACACTGTGTGTTATTTGGATAAGCAATATTCTTCATTTTTATTCTTATTGCTAACCTATAATTTATGAAGAATTATATTTCATACTACATACATAAGCTATGTATTATTCCTTTATAAGTTTGCCTTGTAAAATACCTTCATATGGCTCTTACATGGTTGTATAACCACAAAGAAAACAATAATATGTACTGCGAAATTCTCTATATATGCTTTGGCATCCAAACTATGTTCTTAAGAGGTTCAGTCCATCAGCAAAAATTCCTGTACTACTTCTGTTCCTAGATTTTGATGAGGAAGTCCTGTCCATATATCATTATGTCTAGTGGAGTATGAATTATCCTCAGATTCATACCTAAATATTCACCAGCTATAAACACTGAAACTTGGCCTGATTATTTAGAATATTCATTTCTTTCACCAAGCATTCAAGGATGACCTAATGATGGGTTCATCGTACTCAAACTCTCCCAAATTATTTTATGAGGCCAACATAATGATGATGCCAAAACCTGATAAGGATACTACACAAAAAAGAAAATTTCATTTTTAATATTATTGATGAATATAGACATGAAAAACCCCAATAAAATATTAACAAATGGAATTCAACAATACATTAAAAGTTTATATACATATAAAATGAGATTTATTCTAGGGTTGCAGATGATTTTACTTACACAAATCCACCAGTGTGATTCATAAAATTGACAAAATCATAGATACAAATCATGATTAATAAATTCAAAAATAAATATTTGATAAACCTCAACAACCCATGTATGATAAAAACTCTTAATAAAGTGGGGATACAAGAAAAATACTTAAAGATAATAAAAGACATATATGAAAAACCTATGTTTAGTTGGGGTCATTAAGAAAATCAGTGGGGGGAAGCACAAGGCATTCCCTCTAACATCAGGAGTAAAACAAGGGTGCTCACTGTCATCACTATTATTTAACACAGTGTTGAAAATGTTGGCCAAAAAAATTAGGCAAGAACCAAAAAAAGCTACCCAAATTAGAAATAAAGAAGTAAAACTGTCACTATGCGTGGATGACATAAGGTTATTTACAAAGAAAACTTTAAGTACCTCACCAAAATACTGAAATAATAAAGAAATGCAGTAAATGTGAAAGCTACAAAATCAGTATGCAAAATATTTGTTATTCTACATGCAAGCAATGAGCTAACAGAAATAAAAACATAGTGTTTATGGTCACATCAAAAAGAATAAAGTACCAAAGAAACAATTTAACCAAAGACACGAAAACTCAAACTATATACTTAAAACTACAAGACTCCATTAAAATAGGTTGAAAACATAAAGAAGTGGAAAGACAGTCTGTGCTCATTGGTCAGAATAAGAAATAATGTCAAAATGGTCTTTCTACCTACAGCAAAACACAAAGTCAGAGAATTCCCATTTTAAAAACCCGATGACATTCTTCACATAAATATAGCAAAATATCCTAAAATTATATGGAATTTCAAAAGGTATCAGATAGTCGAAATAATACTGAAAAAAGACAACAAAAATGAAAGTATCAGGGCCTCCCTGTTGATGTAAGGGGTTAAAGAACAGTACTATGAAACTATCCACAGCCACCACAGCACAAGTTTTATCCCTAGACAGAGAGCTGACCACTGGCACAGCAGACCTCTCCTGTCTCACCTGCTGCTCCCCTTGGCAGTGTACTTCAGTCAGTCTGCCTGTTCTGGTCCCCACTCTCTCTCTGTTGAATCCTCTCACTCTCCACAACACTGGCCTGTACCCCAGTTTTTGTATGCATAAATAAATAAATCTTTAAAATCTGTAAGTATCATGATCTTTGTTGTCAGGTATACTACAACACTGCAGGTATCAAAACAATATGGCATTAGAATAAAAAGAAGCACACAGATAAATGTAATAGAAAGAATAGATAGAAAGAGGTCAAAAATAAAACCACAATATATGGACCACTAATTTATGATAAGGGAACTATTAAATACAATATTAACTTCAATGAGTTTGGGTAAACTGAACAGCCACATGCAAAAGAATGAGAATAGACTAATCTCTTATACCATATACTAAAATTAATTCAAAATATACTATATGCTTGAAATGTAAGACTTGAAATCATGAGATGCATACAGGAAAAAATAGATGATAACTCTTTGACACCACTTTAGTCATGTGTTTGTGAATTTGTCTCGAGCAGCTAGAAAAACAAAAAGAATAAAAACAAAGGACATATAACAAAGTAAAAAAAAACAAACTTCTATATAGCAAAAGAAACCATCACGAAAGTGAAAAGGCAGCCAACTGCAACTGAAAAGGAAAAGATATTTACAAGTACTATATTAAATAAGGAGTTGATGTTCAAAGTACACAAAAAAATCATTCAATTCAATAACAGCAACAAATAAAATGCACAACTCAAATAACAAGTGAGTAGAGGATTTAAATAGACATTTCATCAAAAAGACATATTAATGGCCAACAGACACATAGTCTTCATATCCTATCATTAGGGAAATAAAATCAAAGCCACACTAAGATTTCAGGTGTGACTATGGCTTATTGAGGGTACAATGCTGTATAAATATCTATTAGACCCATATAATAATGCTGTATAATATCTATTAGGTCTAATTATTTGTTTTGGGCAATTATGTTTTATTTATTTTTCTCTCTCATTTATTTGTTCATTGGTGAGAGTGGGGTGTTTTCTTCAAGTCTCCAACCACAAATATATGTTCTCCAATGTCTGTGGCTGTCAGTGGGGGAGGGATACAGGGGGAAAATGGGGGTTGGAAGAAGAGCATAGTGGACTGAAGGGGGACTATGAGTGTTTTGGTGTGGGAGTGCTACAGTGGCCACACCCCAGGGGGTATACAGTTTATTGTCAAACACAAACAATGCTGTCAAACAATAGTACCTGAAAAACATAAAATAATATATTAACCCAATTAAAAATGAGCAATGACTACTTAGTTTTCTAAAGAAAATTCAAGTGGCTTATTAGTAACTGAAATGGTGCTTAAAACATCACTCATCACTAGGGAAATACAAATCAAAACCACAATGAAGTATTACCACACCCCTGTTTGTATGGCTATTATCAAAAAGAGAAGGGATAATAAATATTGCTCAGAAGTTCAAGGAAAAGGAAGACTGATTCACAGAGTATAAAAATACTAATACAAAAGAACTTATACCCCTGTATCACAGCAGCATTATTCACAAAACCCAATATATATATATAAATATAAAAGAAATATATATCATGAAACCGTAGTATATATCTCAAATGAAATGCTACTCGTCTATTGAAAAAGATGAAGTCGTACCTAGGGAAACACAATTAATGGACCTATATGTGATTATCTAAATGAAATAAATCACAAAGTGAAAGACAATTAAATGGGTGGTTTCACTCATTTGTGGAAAACAAATAAGCAAAGAAAACAAACAACAAAGTACAACAAAAATAACTCTTTGACCTTGTGGAAAACATCGCGGCTAACAGAAGGAGGGGGAAGGAAGAAGAGCTGGTGTACAGTGAACAGCACTAGGACTGGACCTTGGGTGGAAGCTGAGTGAAGCATGTGCATATGCTGAGGGGTAATCTACTTCAGAATTATATAACTATGTGAACAATGGCAAATCAATAAAATTTGGTAATCATTTCACCTGTGTATCCTATCATCACATTGTATTCTTTAAAGATAAACAGTTATACTTGTTGGTTATTTCTCAATAAGATTTAAATAAATTAATTACATACATATGTACACATACTCCAACTCCACATTTACAAATGTGACTGGTCCCAAACCATTTAAGAGAGAAAATTGCTTTTGTACCATTTTGTTAAAAGAGGTCACGGTCAAAATAATTCTCATGATAAAAACAATTTCATAGAAGATTATTTACCTATAGCTCTTTTATTCCACTGAAATTAAATTCTGACCCTTTCCCTTTTTACATTTGCAAAGTTAACTGGTCTATCTTTCAATTTACTCACTAGGGATAAATTTTAAAAAATGACTAATATATAATGTGGGTCCTGTAGTGTATAGCTATTTTGAAGATTGGATAAGTTAACAGATGCCAAGCTCTTACCTGTGTAAGCGTACTGCACTAAGGAATTAAGTGCATTAGGATCAACTCCTTCCATCCTGACTTCTTCTTGTTTGGCTTCAATCACATCATTTGTAAACATTGCAGCAAAATAATCAGACACAGCACTGAGAACCAAGCTGGAAATAGGAATGTTTCATAGGAACTTAACTTAGTTTATAATCTTACTGAAAAGCATAAAACATAGCCAGTAAGTCTGCTATACTGATAACTTTGTTTGCTGCATAAATCCTTCATAGTTCAGTAAATAGTAGTGAAATTAGAAAAGTAAATTAAGTAACTGACTTATTTTAGAGGGTTTATGTATATTTTCTTCATCAATAATGCTAAAGTTTGATGCTTCTATATATCACATAATGCAATAGGTCATATATGCTGATGTTTATTCAATAAAAAAGATTTAAAAATTTTTCTCAATCTTCCAGTTTGTAATCAGCGACTCTTCCCCATATGTACATATTCTACTAAAAAAAAAAAAAAAACTCTACATCTGAATAAGGTTACTTACCGGTGGGCTGGGATTCGAAGGTGTCCAGCAATTAGTAACACATCACACAGCTTTTTTTCTTTCAGGTAGTTCTCCATTCTATGTAGCATTTCCTGTGCATGGTTTACAGCATAAAAATGCTCCTCAGATCTGTTGACATTCATTCCCTCAGGGTGCTGGGTAGCTAAGCTGATAAGTGGGTTTTAATAAGAAGAATATGGCTTATTCACCTAATAAGCATACAATTATCTTATGGAAATTTAAGTAAATGTGTTTCTAAAAGAACTACAAGATTAAAGAAAATTTAAAATTTACCCTTTGCAGGGACATCTAGAGTTATATCAGATAAAACAGATATTCAGCTTTAAAAAGTAATGAGACAAAAAAAATAATGAGACAGAGATGGACACTGTATGAAGATTAAAAAAAAAAACACCATGTCAGGAAGACTTGACACTCCTCACTATATATGTACTAATTAAAGGGCATAAAAAGGCAGAAGGCAATTATTATCAAATATGAAACCAGACATTAGCAGCAATACAACAACCTTCAGAGTCTTTTATCATCACTTTTACCAATGGAACGATAAACCAGACTGAAATTAAAGAAGGGAATAATAACCATACAAAGAGGATTTAGATTGCTATAACCTTAATGGAAATTTATAGAACACCAAACTTGGAAAAGGTGAATACACATTCTTCTCAAGTGCATGTGGAACATTTGCAAGAAAATCTACATGCTTGATCACTATAGAGCCAGAAAGCACAGGGCACACTCACTTTCAATTTGGGCAGATGGATAAAAGAGTCTCAGAGCCCTCAGTGGGCTCTTGAGGATTTCAGGATCTCTCAGTAAACCAGGTACACAGGCACACCAGGCAGGGGGGCTGGCATGCAAAGAGGTAGGAATGGGCCAGGCAGGGGCTGATGGGAGCCTGGGAAGTAGTCAGGCAACCAAGTCTCCCAATCCCACATGAACCCTTATGCTCTTTCTCTGCACTCTCTCTGGTGTTCTCTCTCTCATGTAGTCTTGTAATCTTGCCTCTACTATAGTCACTCTGCTGGTGGTCCTCTCACTGCCACCTACACTACTTCTTTTAGCCCTATCTCTAGGCTCAGGTGTGCACACTTGCACATAGTGCATGCGTCCATAGTCCAGGTGTCCACAGTCAGGCATACATTTCCTGTGTCTATTCCAAGCACCCTTTACATTAACACATTCGAGGTTACAGGTGATAGCCACCGAGGCGAGTGGCATAAAAAGCCTGATTCACTCATTTGCCTCATATTCACACACACAAAAAAAAAAACAATAAATGCATAAAGATAAAAATCACATCAAGTATCTTCTTTAACTACAATGGTACCAAACTAGAAATTGAGCACAAAAGAAAGTAGGAAATACTCTAGTATATGGACATGGAACAACACACTTCTGAAATCTCATTGGATAAGTGAGGAAATAGAAGAAATTCAAAAACATATGGAGATGAACAAAAGTAAAGACACAACCTGTCAAGCTCTATGGAAAGTATATAGTAATCTAGGCCACATCAAGAAACAAGACAAAGCTTAAGTAAACAACTTTAACTCTCATTATCAAGATTTAGAAACATCAGTAGAAGGAAGGGAATAATGAAAAAAGAGCAAGAATAAATGACAGAATCAAAAAGTACAAAGCATCAATGAAATAAAAATCTGGTTCTGTGAAAACTTCAACAAAATATAATAGCCTCTAGCAAGACTCACTAGGAAAAAAAAGGGATAAAAATCAATGGTACTAGAAACAAAAGAAGAAAAGTCACAACAGACATTTCAGAAATAAAAAAGGTCATGAGGTTACAATGAACAACTATATATCAACAAATTGAAAGATCTAGATGAAATTGAGAAATTCCTGCCAATCTACAGCAAGAAATATAAAACCTAAACATACAAATCACAAGTAAGGGAACCGAAAAAGTAATCCAAAAGTCGAGGTCCAAAAAGTTTCTCTACTGATTTCTATCAAGCCTTTAAAAATGAACTATGCATATGTAAAAATGAAATATGTATATATTTCAATCAAAATCTTCCAAAACTTGAGACAGAGAAGATTCCATATACTTTTTATAAGGCTGACATCACTCTGAAACCATAACCAGACAAAGAGAACACCAGCATAGTATTAAAGATTAATTCTTCTGATCATCATAGATATAAAAATTGTCAACAAAATATCAGCAAACCAAATCAAGCAATATATAAAAAGGACCATACATCATGACATATGGGATCCATTCCAATGACAAAGCGATGGTTCAACACCTGAAAATCAGTGTAATTCATCAAGCCAAAAATAAGAAAGATAAATATTATATGATTATATGAGTAGCTGCAGAGAAAGGATCTGATGAGATTCAGAATCCATACTTGATTAAAAAACAACTTAACACTGTGGTAGATGAAACATTCATCACCATAATAAAGACCATATAAAACTAACCCACAGCCAACATATTACTAGATTATGTATATAATCTAGGCCCTCATCAAGAAATAAGAAAGAGCTCAAGTAAACAACTTTACCTTTACATCAAGATTTTAGAAACATCAGTAGAAGGAAGGGAGTAATATACATTTCACTCAATCACTAAAAACTGAAAGCTTGCCTTCTCTGATCTAGCACAAGACAAGGATGTCCACTTTCACCATTACTATCAACAAATTATTAGAAGTACTGGATAGAAAAATCAGCCAAGATAAAGATATAAAAGGAATCTATACTGAGAAGTAGAACTTGCATTATTGTGATGACATGATAGTACATATAGAAAAAGAACTTAAAGACTCTACTAAAAACCTGATTAAAATCAGAAATCAGTGCCTTAAAGTGTCAAGGTGCAAAATCAACCTGCAAAAATCAGTTGCAGTTTTTTAAAGATATATTTATTTAACCATACAGAACTGGGGTACAGGTCAGAGATGCAGGGGCGGTGAGAGGCTTCACCAGAGACAGAGTGGGGAGCAGAACAGGCAGATCGACAAAGCATACTGCTGAGGGGAGCAGTGGGCAACACAGGAGAGACCTGCTGCGCCATGTGGATCACCTCTGGGGAGGGACTGAACTCATACTGAAGTGGCTCCAGCTAGCTTGCAGTGCTGTGCCCTAACCTGTTGTGCAACCAGGGAGGGTCCTAATTGCATTTTTATATACAGACAAGTTTGAAGAGAAGAGATCCAGAAAATAATCCTATTCAAAATTGCAACAAAAATAATTGAATAGTTTAGGAGTAAACTTAATAAAGCAGGTAAAAAGCCTATACACTAAAAAAAAAAAAATGAGAGATTGTTAAAAGAGACAGGGAAATGGGAATATATTTCCAGTTCATAAGTTATAAAGACAAATCTCACTATCAAGGCTCTAATGGAATTCCTCAAAAGAAATAGAAAAAAAAATTACAGAAATTAATATGGAACAATAAAAAGAGCCCAAATATACAAACAATTCTTTTAAGAGAGAGTGGTATCATCACACTCCAGACTTCAAACGTAACTATAAAGCCACAGTCACTAAAACTGTGTGGTACTAGAACGAAAAAAGACACAGAGCAATGGAAAGAAAATTGAGAGCCCAGAAATATACCCATATATCTATGAACAGTTAATTTATTGCAAAGGAGCCAAAAGTATACACACAAAAATGGAAAGTCTCTTTAACAAATGGTGTTGGGAAAACTAGACAGCCACATGCTGAAGAATGAAACTAGACCACTGTCTTGCACCATACATAAAAATTAACTCAAAATGGACTGAAGGCATGCATATAAGACCTGAATCCAAAAAATACATAGAAGAAAATACAAGTAGAACACAGCATGCTATTGGTTTGAGTAATGTCTTTGTTGACTGATCTCCAACACCAAGTGAAGAAAAAGCAAATATAAACAAATGGGATTATAACAAATTAAAATGCTACTGAAAATCAAAAGAAAACATCAGTAAAATCAAAAGACACCCTACTAAATGGAAAATAATATCTGCAATATTATTTAACAAAAAACTGATATCCAAAATATGTAAAATACTCATGCAATTCAAGAAAAAAGAGAATAACTAACCCAGTTTAAAAAAAAAAACACAAGAAAAACTAAATAGACATTTCTCCATAGAATTCATACAGATGGCCAATGGGCACATGAAAAAATGCTAATCATCACAGAAAAGCAAATCAAAACTATAATGAGATGGCTGTCACACACATGAGAATGGACCACATCAAAAATACCAGAAACAAGAATTATTGGCAAGGGTATGAAGAAAATGGAATCTTCATAACTTGATGGTGGGAATCTAAATTGACCTATCTCCTGTGGAAAACATTCTAGAGGTTTCACAAAATTAAAAATGAAAGGATCTATCATATGACACCACAATTTCAGTCCCAAAGAATATCGACTTGAATTATACAAAAGCACTACTTCGAAAGGGATATTTGTACTTTTATGTTCATTGCAGATCTGTTCACAGTAGCCAAGTGATGGAAACAGCTTAATTACAAGGCATTTAGAAAAATTTGGTCTAGATCTGCAATGAAATACTATTCACCTATAAAAATAGATGGACTCGGGGCCTTCCTGGTGGCGCAGCGGGTTAAAGCAAAACACTAAGAAGCTAAAGCCACTTCAGTATGAGTTCAATACCCTCCCAGGAGGTGACCACATGGCACAGATCCCCTCAGCAGTGTACTTCTTTGATCTGTCTGTTCTGCTCCCCACTGTCTCTGGTGAAGCCTCTCACCGCCCCTGCACCTCTGGTCTGTACTCGATTTATGTATGCATACATAAATAAATCTTAAAAAAATTTAAAAAAAATAGATGAACTCCTGTAAATGTGCCAAAGTAAATGGAAGTAAAAAGATAATGCTAAGCAAAATAAGGAGGAGAAAGTTATACACTGGATCATCTCATATGTGTTATAGAGAGAAATTGAACAAAAGAGCATTCAAAACCAAACCAATAATAAACTTTTAACAGTTCACAACAAAAATGAGGCTGCCAGAGGAGGGGGAGGGTATAGAAGGATGGGAGAAGGGACACAATGAATTATGGTGAGGACTATGGGTGCTTTGCTGGTGGATGTGGTATGGCAATCGACACTTGAAGAAGTGGGATCCTGTATTTGTGAATCACAGTCAGTGATGTT